TCCAACGAGTCCAAAGACTGAGAACAAGATATAGAGAGAAGGATTTGAAGAGAATATCAAGCTGGAAAGAGACACATACGCGATTATGCTTGAGAAAAACAATGAAGAAAAATGAGAAATAAAAAGAAATCCAAAGAGTTAAAATATAGTTTAAATACTATTTTGGTCCCTATACATCTAGCTTTTGTTCATTGTGGTCCCTATACTTTCAAAATGTCTATTTTGGTTATGTACTTTTAACTTTCCCCTTTTAGTCTCTACATTTTCGAAATGTCCATTTTGATCTTGTACTTTTATAAAGTGACTCTTTGGTCCCTTTTATTTAATGTCTATCTCATGTTTTTCAATCACAATTCCAACACAACACTAAATTCAACAAAATTTAAATTTCTTAAAATTTAGTCATTGTCAAATATACCAATATCTTTGAATTATTTGTTTATTATTTAATTTGAGATCTTGTTTATTCAAACTCCCTGAGATCTCAATCTCAGATTTTGTAAACAGTTACACTCGTACTCTTTTATACTCCAATGCCACAATGAGAAAGGTCATGGACATTTGCTCACAAGTCCATCATTGTATTTGAGTAGGTGGTCCTGTGTTCGAATCCTTATAATGTCATTTCTTCTCCATTTAATATTAATTATCACTTGTTGGGCCTYGTGCAAATTTCAAAACCCACAAGTGAAGGGGAGTGTTAAGATATCTATAAAAGGTTAAATTTATCGTAACCCATTAGCTTAACTTTTTGTTCGCAAGGATCTCTATCTTCACTAAATTCCCACAACATCACAACTTGCCGATCCATTTACTAAGCCTCATACCATTGATTGCTTTCAGCACTTATCTGTCTCCTTCCAATGTGTCATAAGTTTGCGGGGCATATTAAATGTATCTATATCTTTGAATTATTTGTTTGTTATTTAACTCCCTGAGATCTTCCTTATTCAAACTCCCTGAGATATCAGTCTCAAATCTTGTAAAAAGTTACACTTCCCGTACTATTTATAGTCCAACTCATCAATGAGAAAGGTCATGGACATTTGCTCACAAGTCTATCATTCAGTTTCATAGCCCATAACTTTGTATTAAAGGTTTGTATGATGTAAATACAAATTTTTCAAACAGGGAACGAAATGGTCACGCTATTTAACGGTATAGAGACCAAAATGAACATTGAAAGTATAAAATGAATAAAAGTTGGAATTATCGAATCAAAATGGATATTTTGAAAGTATTGGGACCAATATGAACCAAAACTAAAAAGTACAGTATTTAAACCTACATATTAACATATACAACCATATAAGAAAATGATAGTCTAGAAGATGGTTTATAAAATTTCACCCGACCCCGAAGACCCAGCCAACTGTTAGGTTAGGTTAGAAAAGCGAAACCAATTGCCATTTTCTTAATATCACCATATTCAATCCTACCATACCCTACAAATGTTATTCCAAGTTTAGAAGATAAAACTTGTCGAGAATTGGAGAACACTAGATATAGGAAGGCATAGTTTACAAGGTCACAAAATACATTAATATTTGGTACCAGGTACCTGACCATAAACAATTTCGTTCAGACCACTGAGTGATGGAGTCCTCTCCATCAACTGTGCCTGCGTTATTAGAGTCATTGTGTGAATATCTGTTCTAGTTCTACTGGTAAACAAACATTACCAGAAAACAGAGACAAATTAAAACAATTAAGTCAATAATAACCGTCTAATACCATTATGCCATAAGGATAACATCATCCACAAAATAACAAGTGAGAAAGATGATAGCTTAATGACACATTCATTTATTGTAGAAAATAACTGTCATCAAAAGCCATTTTCCAATAAGGTTTTCAAATTCCTATCTAAATCCCCAAAAAAATAATGATAATAATTCACATCTGCAAAACACCACAACAATAGTTTATTTGCATTTAACAACYGATTAGTAATAAAATAGCTTATTTTGTACTCGGTGTTGATCAACATATCAATGACATGGAAAATGTTGGTGATAGTGCGGTAGAATTGTCAAATTTGACAGTGGCAGATATATTTTACCAGATTTCTCATATTTTTTTAAACAAGATGCGAACTTCTCATTGAAATAATGAAAGAAAATAGTTCGGGAGATACAAACTCTCAAAGGAAAAGATACAAAAGAGAACCACCAAAAGATGTGAAAGATGTGATAAAAGTTGGAAGATACAATATAAAAACAAACTAATGGATCAAAGCAACATCATGAAGAATGGTTAATGGATCAAAGCAAATCTGATAAAAGTCAGATTTCCCATATCTTGATTTTTACATAAATGGATCAAAGCAACATCATGAAGAATGGTTATTAGTTAAAGAGTCTAACTCTTCCTTAACACATCATGGATGATGGATAATAGCTCACCTTAACACCTGCAGGAAAACAAAAGGCAGACAAGTCCTTCAGACGCATTGGCAGCCTCTTCCCAGGTGGATATTTAAAAAGTATCTGTACGTGCAGGTACAACCACAATTACGTTGATATGTAAACATACAAACACAATAAAGCAATAGTTAACAGATGCCGAAAATAAACATGAAACAAGGTATTCTATAGATATGAGGACCCAAATGGTTTCCATTACCTTAGTCCAAAATTTTATGCAAGTAAATTTCTTATACAAACTAAATTTCCAGCAGGCATAACAAAAAAGAAGCATCTCAATACCATTTCCTTCATAGACATTAACAAAGGCACAAAGAATTAACTCACTACACATTTGATCATTCTACAATACATATAAAAGAGTTCTACCAGATGACTGATCCAGATTAGAGTTAACCTGAGGTTCCAGCAGGGGAAGTGATGGCCCTCTATTCTCCAGCATTTTCATATCCATCATCTCATTATTTTTCATTTCTAACTCCCACTTTTTCCTTTTAGCAAATGCATTTTCCACAATCTCAAGGTTAGTATCTGGATGGAGCCCTGCAATAATGAAGTGCTCAAAGAGAGAGGTGGGCTCCTGGTATACATGGTCCTATAAAATATGAACATATTAAAATTCATTGTATTGACATTTCTTTTATTTATCTAAATATGATGGTTACATTTAGTTTAATAAGACCTACTCAGTTGAGCTCATTAAAATCTGAAAGACCATGCAATCATACAACACTTTTGTTTTTCATCACAAAATATGCCTCATAGAGCACCAGTTATAGTTATAGCCTTATAGGCGTAGTTTATATGTAAATATGAACAGTGCTCTGTTCATCTTTGGTATTGGATAATCCGATTCAAAGATCAATAATTTAACTAGATATGGAGGCACAACAATGACGTATTTATAGACTTCCTTTTAACTCATTTTTGTTCTACTCAATCATAACTCCACCAAACGCCAATTTTAAATGCTAATCCAAACTAATCATATCAGTATTTGTATTTTCATGTCTTACTAATTTACAAACCAATATATGCCATTGGAGATTCCACATTGAACAACTTGAATCCATCATCATAACATCACCAAGAGGACCTCATATGCAAAACAAACATCATTTCTTTTTCTGTTTCAAAAACGAACATGTCCGGCTTTTAGTTTAAAATCCCGGGAAAGCCATGTTGTAGAAAAGAATACAGAAACTTGGAGTTAATTAGATACCAGAGATTTGGAGTGAAACTGATACCACTGACGTTTTTGATTAGCCATGATCTCAGGATCGAAACTATAGAAGGCGTAATCATCTTCCCGTGTGTCCCTCCCCCATCCCCAAGCCTTCTGCATGTGGGATTTCAATCTCTGTAAACTGTTGGTTCGTCTGTGTTTGGCCCTGGGAATTTCACTCCGAGCGCGTCGATGTCCAACCCCCATTTCCTGGCCCCCATGATACACACTATTGATAGCTTCTCCGGCCACCCTAAACGCCTCCTCGGAGAAATGTTGCAACACCCAGATTGGCGAGGGAGGCCGATCGTCCCCCACTTCAGCATCTTCCCTTGTCTCCATTGTTATACAATCACTTCATCTTCCACGCTCATTGCACCAATTTACCATCGCCCGGCTCAACACCTCTCGCCATCATTACATTACATTCTCAATCGAATAATTGGGCGTACAAAGGAGCAGACCCACATGGAAACAAAAAGCAATTTCACAATTGGTTCCCTCTTAAAACAGGATTCGAGCAACACCCGAGTCGCAGAGAAGCTGAAATATTCCGAAAATCAAAAAACTAAACACACGACTACGACATAACGTGAATGTTTCCAATTCCATGCAGAAAGGGAAAGAATCCCCCCTGATAGCAAAAGGAAGGAAAACTGAGGAGAGAATGCAATGAAAACATATAACAGAGAAGCGAATCGGGCATTTACGAATCCGGTGAATTTGGGGAAGTGAAAATCATGGCCTATATCGTAAGAAAATGGAAATGGTAATGATATGATGGGATGGGAAGGAAGAAGAGAAAAAAGAAGGAAGAGAAATGAATAATGTATCGCAGCATTCACCTGATGAATGGATGTGTGTGAGTTTCTTCTGGGTTGGTTGGTGCTTCGTCGCAGAACCAGAGGAGCGATGGAAAATTAAATTTTACAGAAATAGAACAGAGAGAGAGAGAGAGAGAGAGAGAGAGAGAGAGAGAGAGAGAGAGAGAGAGAGAGCGGGTTCAGGTTGAAACAAAGCTCAACTTTTTTTTTTTCTTTTTAATAATCCTTCCTTCTATTAGAATTGGAATTCCCCATTCACAACAAAACAAAACAACTTTATATATTTATTTCACTCACTCTTTTTTTCCTACTTTTCTAGAAACTAGCATTAATCGAAGATATACATCTATCGACCAAGAATTTTCAGGCTAACATTTTAGTAATTGTAATTAGGAAAAGATAAAATATTTATAGAAATTCTCTCATAAAGATTAAAAAACCATGTTCACTTTTGTTTTTAATGGAGGATTTCATTTAAATAAGTTTAAAAAATCTTAATTATTAACACTATCTTTATATTTTGTTGATATTTCATAATTTAATGAAAACATTGGTGGTTAATCTTTCATGTTCTTTTTTTCTTTTTCTTTTTATTGAATTTTATAATTACTAACCGATCATCAAATCATCAATTTTTAGGATGATAACAAGTCTCTCATTTGCTTGAACTATATTTAAATTGACATATGTGACATCGAACTTCACATATATCGCATATCACTATCAAAATCATCAACATTTAAGATGATGATAGATACTTTATTCATTTGAAATATATTTTATATTGACATATTCAAGATGATAATTTTATTTTATAATTACAAAAATGTCTTTTCATTCCACAAATTAAATGTTTGGTATTAAATGAAAATAATGAAGAAAGTTGTTTTTTTTTTTTCGGAAAAATAAATGAATTGAAATTATTTACTTTGAGAAATAAATAATTAAGTAGAGCAGGGTCAGAAGAGAAGAAACAGTGATAACTTCCGATTGACCTTTCGACTCTGAGAAAACCGACGTGTCGTCACATTTTCCACCTGTCTGAACAACTGGCCCCACTTTCCTAAACCTCTGCCGTTGATTTTCGCGCGGCCGTTACGGTTCGATCTCAACCGTTGGATCTCCAGTTCCCGCTGCTCGTCCATTTCTTACTTTACACGTCATCTCCAAGCAATAAATCTTCTTTTCCTTTTTCAATTCAATAATTTACCTAAATCTTAAATTACCATTTTGTCCTCCTACTTTCTTCTTTCTTATATTTTTGTCTCCATGCTTTTTCTAAATTTAATATCTACTCTAAATAAGTCTTTAAAACACTACCTTAGCGCACCCGTCACTTCAATCTCAAAATTTGTACTTAAAAAATTAATAACAAAATGTTGACAAATTGTATTTAATATATATATATATATGAAGTTTTAATATTATATCGAATGAGTAACTTTTAATTTTGCGTTTAATGAGTCATTAAGTGTCTAATTAGTCCCTCAAATCTAGTTTGTTCTTGACCTTTTTGACATTTTGTCTTAAATTCAAGGACTTATTAGTCAGAAAATTGATTTCATGTCTTATAGAAAAGTGAAATTTCAATTTTGAGTCTAATAAGTCCATGAGTTTTTTTAAATGTTTAATAGGTTAAGGACATACTCGATGGAATTGAAAACATTTTTTTAAGTTCAGATACTAAACTTGTAATTTGACCTTATTTTAGTCTTATACTTTAAAATATATCTTTTTTCATTTGAACTTCAAATCCAATTTTTGTTACTATTTTAAAATTGATGTTATATGGTTTTATGCGAATTTGTATTTGAATTTTAAAAAAAAATCATATCTCAAGATTTATGTTAAATATAACTTTTTTGGGTTAATAGATTCAAATTATCCCAAAAACTATTAACCCACTGAAATTTTTAAGTTCATAAATCCAAAAAGTAAAAGAAAAACATTCAAAATATAATAGCCAAAACAACAGGTATACAACATTTGGGGACAAATATTTTTTAAAAATAATTAAGATACGAAGGATATTGAGAAAATCATCTTTATTTTCAAAACAATTTCAATGATTTAAACTCCCTCTTAAAGACAATTTTATTTTTATTTTTAAATTTCATATGCCCATTAAGAAAAGTTGGAAATTATCTATGTTACAATAGCAATCGTCATTAAATAATATTTATGAACATTTAGACCAATTAATTTTTTACATTTTGTTTGTTCAAAGTCAAGTTTGATTTATTGCATCTCATCCTTTCATGTAAATTAATTTTATTTTATTACCATAAAAAATTAAGGGTGCAAACTGCAAAGTGTGTGAATATCTTCTTTTGAAGTTGACTTTTTTGTTAAAGGAATCTACTTTTTGAATATCAAAATGGACAATCATAGTTCAATTAATTCAACCCTTTTTTTTTTCTTTCTTCCTTTAGAGAACTGTGCATATTGTCACCAGAGAACCTTTTTCTTAATAATATTTTATCTCTGATTTTTTTAAATTTTAGTTAAAAGTATTAAATGGGAGAATTGTAATGGTCGTTAAATAATTTTATCATATTTATAAATATTAAATATAACACAAGAAATAAGAATCTTGTAGGAGGGATGTCTAAGTTTATGGAGTTTGGAGTTAGGAAACTTGAATTTGTATACATTATATTTAAGTCATACAAAGAAATATACTATTGAAACTTGAAAACGTATGTTCGATTTTTTGGGGTAGTATATAATTTGTTAAGAATTACAAATTTAGCCCCTAAACTTTTTGTGTGTCTAAACTTTCAAATTTGTATGTAGTAGGTTCATTATTAGGAGAAAGAATCACAAAATGCCACGTAGACTGAGAATGGTAGTTCACCATCAACCTCCCAGTGCCAACCAATGGAGCTCAATGTCACTCATTTGGAATCTCACACAAGTAGAGGATTCTTGGCTCGTTTTGCTTAAGTTAAGAATCTGACAGCTTCATCCTACATATGGAAACAAACTGATAGTTGTCATAACAAAAATATTTCCACCTAATTCCTATAAATACGTCATCACTCCTCTCAATCATGATTTGAACGTTGGAGTGTTTGTTTCTTTGTCGCTCAACTTGCACAGATCTCGCACCTCACAAATTCCGCAGAAACATTCATGAACTTCCAATTTTTGTATCTAACAGGTCCTTAAACTTTTAATTTTGTGTCTAATAGGTTCTTGAATTTTCAGTTTTATATTTAATAGATCTCTAACCTAATCGACATTGTTTAAATTTCATGAACTTTTCCGATACAAAATTGAAAATATATTGATCTATATCTAATAGATCCATTAATTTTTTAAATGTTTAATTTGTTAGGGAGAAATACAAAATTAAAAGTTTAGTAATCTATATAGTTTTAAACTTTAGAGACGTATTAGATACAAAATTGAAAATTCAATAAAAATTTATTTAGTGACCTAGACACAAACAGTAACTAAATGTGATCCATGAATAATTAGGATTGTGTCTATTTCAATCTTTGTCCTATTTGTCCCTATTTAGTCTTTATAACCGCATATGTGGCACGTTCACTTATTTATATAACATGAATTTGTGTAGTTTGTGGAGCTAACAAACCTGAGATCAATAAACCACCTGCCAAATAGAGTTTTAAACTTGTTAGTTTCTATTACACAACCAATTAAACATGTGTAAAAACACGAAACATCTATTTTGGTCTCTATATTTTTTAATTTATCTATTTTAGTTTCCATACTTTTTAGTATCTAAGCAATAATATTTTCGTAGGTGGGAAGTGGAAGTAGGGGGCACGTGCCTAGTTGCCTAGAAAATCGTTCATTCACACATTGTTTATGCTTTTGGCCTTTTGTTTTCTCTCAAAGAAGAAAATAAAAAAGTGAGCTTTTGGAAAGCTGTGAAATCTCGAGGCTCTAAGTCAGGAAAGGTGAAGAAATTTTATACTATTACGAGAAATTTGGTATCGAAACAAGTTTATGATATTAAATTTCTATCGACCTAAAAAATAAATCAGTATTTTCATACTCTCACAAAGAAATTAATAAAACATCCTTAATGTAGACATAATATTAATAACAATAACTTAAATGATGAAATGCTTATTTATTAATTTTTTATTCTTATGATTTTTTCAAAAATATTTATCGATATTTTCATAGACATTTTTTAATTTCATTCTTAGCCATTGGAAAATAAATATCTTATTTTCCTTAATACAAAATGGCATATTAGAAAGAGTTAAAAAACTAATTTAAAAGTGTAAAATCAAATCCCAATGTGTTATGTTGTTAAATATTTTTATAACTATTTTACTATTTACTTTTGTCAACTTGAAATGGCTCAATGGTGAAGGTATAATCTTTCGAGTTAGATTCAAAATTTCTGAGCCCAGAGAGTTGAACAAAATAAAAGAGTAAACTTCTACTTTCGGTAAAAACACTCATATGCACACACCTTTAGGTTTTGGTTTATTTAATTTTTTTTCTTTTCTATTTTCTGACTTTTGAGTGGGTTTTTGT